ATTAAATGAATAGTAAAGAAGAACAGGATCTATACTAATGCATAAAAATGAGTTAGCTATGAATAAACATTATTTAGTTGAGCTGCAATGTATACAACATGTACTATGTGTCAGGTATTGTTCTGAGTGTTTTTTAATATTTTGAGTCCTTTATTCCTCACAACCCTATGAACTAGGGATTATTTAAAAAAAAWTTTTAGTTGTTGATGGGCCTTTAACTTTTTATTTATTTTATGCAGTGCTGAGTTTACTCCAGGACTACATTGGTTTTCAAATATATTGATCAGAATAGTTTGAGACTCTTCTGATTGTAGCATATACTAATCTAACACAACTGAGATTGTAGGTCATACTGCTGTGAAAAATACTCCCACATTTTAGCAGCTTAAACAACAAAAATGTGTTACTTACTCTGACTACATGAGGGGGGTGGGTGGGTTGTTCCAAGTTGTCCTTGTTTGGGAACATAGGCTAAGAGAGGCTTTACCGTCTTCAGCAATACTGGTCTTAAGGCTGGGGAAGAGTAAACACTGTAAGGATTTATACTGGCAATTAAATGCTCTACCCGGAAGTGACACATACCACTTGGACCCACAACCTGCTACAGCCTAGTCCCTACCTGCAAAGCGGGAGGGTGTCTGGGGTGGGCATGGAAAAGTGTAGTCTTTTAATGCCTGGAAGGAGAGGGTAAGCACTGTAAGTGTTTACCATTCTGGGAATTCATCTACTGATTGATTCGGGTTAATTGAGTTGCCCTTCTTGTAGCTGGATTTTTGGGTGGTTATCCAGAAAAACAAGCAAATAAAAACAACAACAAGAAACTCTATTAATAAGAAAGAAATGGAARTGGATGGTAAATAATAGATCAATAATGCTGCCTTGACCCAAAGAAAAAGACCAGAATTTCAGCTGTGGAGGCAAGTCATACAGAGAGAAAGTGTGGCTAGTTTCATCAGCTTTTAAATCAATCACTTCATTTACTCTTCTGATGGGAAAGATTAGCTCTGGCTTTTTAATGAGTGAGTATAGAGTTTCTATTTAAGGATATGGCTCAAAAATGACTTAAAACACTTAATGGATTTGAAAAGAGAGACTATTTTTCCACATTTCATTTTTGTAGTTATTGTCAATGGTATGTCAAGTTGGCTGAATTTATAGTTTTAGAACTGGCAACAACTACAAATTATCCAGTCCAACCCCCTTATTTTCAGATGATAAAACAGAGGTCCCCAATGGATAAAATCATTATTTTAAAGAAGGTTATACCTTCTTGCCTGTGCTAATAACTCTACTACCCTTTGTATGATTTTCTGCAAAATAGAATACATAAATGAAATGTAGTTAGAGCAATGATTATAAAATAAGAATAATTAAAAGTTATTGAGAATATTTGCAGTGCTGACATTGAGTTGGTATACAGTGGTAGAGATGGAAAAATTTCTAAACTCTTTACTAAGCAGCAGCTGCTGAGTCTCCTGAATGCCTCAATCCTTCTTGGGACCCAGTGGATTTCCCCACTATCATTAAAAATAGGATCCACCTCAAAGGTTTGATTTGAGAATTAAATGATGGAGGTGAAGAGCTTAGCATGGAGCCTTGTGCTCAGCAATGTTACACCTTGGCTATTATTTTTATTACGGTAATAATAAAATGGTAGTAAATTTCAAACTAGTTTCTACATGAATGTTCACAACTTAGGAAATGTGATAGCATTTTAGTTCATTAACTTTGATCTAGCTAATCTCTCAATAAAATGGACACTCATGTACTCACTTAAACTTTCAGTTTGATCTTTTCCATTGTCTAAGAGTTGACTCCTTGCCCCACATCCAAGTCTTAGTCATCTCTGACAGATGACTAAGAATGGGCCCAGGCTGACCCATAAAAGAAAGTGACAGACTGAGAAGATCCTTTTAGTTCTTGTGGAGAATGTTTTGTACAGCCTTTTGTGGAGCAGAACTTGTCTATAATTTTTGGAATAAGCAAAGATAGGCCCAAAGCCTAATTTGGTGGGGGAGGAATGGAGAAAAAGATGGAGTACTTCTTGCCCAAGCAAATATGAGAAACTGGGAGTGATGAGAGGTAAGCAGCTGGAGTGAGAAGAGAAAGAGAATGAGGAGGCCCAGCAGCAGATCTGGAGGCTGGAGAGTGTGAATAAAATACCTTTGACAGAGACACTTTCTGATGATCAGTGATGTTGAGAATCTTTTAGGGGTGCTTTCTTAGAAACAACCTGTTAGAGAAAAGCAAACTTTTTCCTCTTTGAAGAGAGTAGAAATGTATTTTCTGTTTTTGCAGGGCTGGGGATGGAATGCAGGGCCTTTCACATGKCAGGCAAGCATTCTACCACTGCGCTACACTACGGAGCCCCAGAAATATACTTTTTCTAAGCTGGGATCTTTATTTGCACTAAAAGAGGCAGTGTAAGCACTCCTGTTATAAGTGATTGTCAGGAAATTCATTATCTGTCTGGAATGTGTAAAGAATTCTTCTCAAATGGCAGTTATTTAACTGATACTTCCAGTTTTGGGATGGCAGCTAAATCCTGGGCGTCCCCTCAAATAGGCTTTGATAACAGTGTTCTGTTACAGGCTGAGAAACACTCAACAGAGATCAGAATTGCTGAAGAACTAGTTTCTGACTGTACTCCAGAGACATCAAAGTTGTTTGGTATTTTAATGTACAATATATTGTCTTATGAAAATGTGCTAAATMTTGGACAAACTTTTTTTTTTCTTCTTCTTGTTTGCATTTTGATGGAAAGAAGGTAGGAAAGAGAAATTTTTAAATTCCTAGGTTTTTGGAAGGGAAAATTGAAGACCAGATTAAAAAACCTGGATATTTTAAAGCTAAGGTAAAGCTTTGAACTTGGGAGATCTGAATGAATTACAGAACATAACCTATAATGATATTAAATGAACCAGAAATATTTCTCTCTTAAAACAAAGTATGCCAGTTAAAATATTTTTTAGAATGCTGTGTTTAAACTAAACAGTAAATAACCACTCCACATCAGGCTTATCTAGGGAGGGGATGTAGTTGAGCGTTAGAACACATCTAGTATTAGCTTGTCTTAGGCCCTGGGTTCTGGGTTCAATTTCCAGCCTGTGTGTGTGTGTGTGTGTGTGTGTGTGTGTGTGTGTGCGCGCGCGCGCCCATCAAGATTAAAATCTAAAATCTAGAGTATGACTGATACGTTTTGCTTTTGACCCATGTAACCGGGTGTAAGTCTAAAATTTGTTTATTTCTAACAACCAAAGTGTGTAACTCTTACAATTTTTTTTTTCTATTTAGTCCAGGTGTCTCATGGGCGGGCACCATCCATGCATTTAATAACTGGTTATTGAATGATTTTGTTAAATGATGACACCCAAACTCCCTGGGCTAAGAACATAATTCTGGTTTTGGTAGAAAATGGCGGTGGGGGGGGGAGGCGCGTGCGGAAAGTCTCACCTTGGCTATGTGACTCAATTTTCCTCTGTTTTCTCTTACAGGGAAATAACCATAAAATGACTGCAAAGTACTTGGCCCCTTTTGAAATCTGACAATAAACCAATGTCTAGAAAAGTCTCTGAAAGAAGAGCCTGAGCTGCTTGCGGGAATGGATTTCCTTTTTTGAATCAACAGTGTCTTATTTGTATCTCTGAAACACAGTTGTTGGTCTAGAAAAGTCTCGATACATAGTGAATTTATGAACGCTATTAGACAGAYTGCATTCTTGGCAGGCCTCTGCTGCTTAAATCTTTCTGTGAGCCTTTCAATACTTAGAATCTCAAAGGCGGCCGGTCTTTGCTCTATAGTGAACACCCACGGTATTTACTAAAAATAAATAAAAAATAAAAATAAAAAGGCAGGCCGAAAAGAATAATTCTTGGCCTCAGGGAACCATTTAGTCTCTCTAGCTAGCTTTGCCGGGGTTTGGGTTCTGGGTCCCGAAGCTACGGGGAAGAGTTCAGGACGGGAAGCTCATTTTCCGGCCCTCTGATTGGCCGGCTCGAACTCCACTCACGAGGCTGTCGGCTCTGATTGGGTCCTGCGACACCCCTCGGCCCGAGACTACTTTGTGTGCCGGGGCGGCGCGCCCAGGTCCTCCCGCTCAGCTCGCGGTCAGGACTGGCCGGAGGTAGCTTTACGGCCCACTGCTCTGCTTCGCGGGCGCCAGGAATTTCCCGAGTCCGAGCGGGTAGGAAGCATCCTAAGGAAAAGTCTCTCCCTCCCTCCCGGTGCTGTTCTCTTTCCCGTACTCAATAAACTTCCGCTTCAGAGGGCTGCTGTAGCCGCGGGTCGGGAGAGGCCCGTCCCGCTGTGGCCCTCGTGGGGGGTCTTTCTCTTTGCGCAAATGTTGACACATAGCTCCCACAAGACAGGGCTGCGCTGGGCTGCGTGGGAGCGGTGCCCTTGTGGGATCGCGCTGCGGGCTGCGGCCGAACGGCCGGACTGGGCTGCAGGGACTGAGTAGTAGCAGCAACAACAGCAGCAGCAGCGACCACCCCTAAAAGTAGGAAGGAGCATATTTCGAATCCCCATAGCGGCTCCACCTTCGGGCCGCGGAGGTCTTCCCCTCGCCGCCCCCCCCATCCTTCAGGCGCTCTAAAGAAAACGGCGTTCCCTGAAGGTGGCTCTCCCTGGCAGAGCTGCGCTCGACTCGCGCCCCCTCTGCCTCCAGCCTTAAGGCGGTAGAGGGCGGCCTGCGCCTGTGTGCGAGCCGGACTCAGCGTCCGTGCACAGCCTCTGCCTTGCTGGAACTCTTGCCGTCCCGCTGTGGCCCGAGGCTCTTCGTGGCGGTGGATGCTGCAGCTACGCTTTCCCCGGGCTCAGCGGGAAAGGGGGCGGGGAGGAGTTCTGGCACATGCCAGGGTCGCCGTAGGAGGCAGCGGCCAGCGCATGCGCGCCCTCTCCCAGAAGCCTGGAACGCTGAGGGGCGCGCGCCCCCATCCGCGCGTGCCCGCCCGCGCTGGCCGAGGCTTCCCCGCCTGCGCTTGTTGTCGGAGCCGCTCCGGCGCGTGCGCGCGTTATCTCGGGCCGACCTTAGTGGCCGGGTTCCCTCGGCTCCAGGCCCCCGCCCCCCGCCGCCCTCTCTCGGCCCCCAGCCAACCGGTCCCCTCCCTCTCCTCGCGGAATGGGGCCGGTGCTACTTGGGGTCGCGCGCCCGGGACCCGGCTCGCGCTCGGTCTCGCGCTGTCAGCTACTGCCCGGCTCGCGCCGCCTCGCGCTCTCCCTCAGTCAGTGGCGCCGGAGGCTCCGTTAAGCGGCGACCGTGGTTCCTGTTTCCGTTTCTTCCTCTCCCTTCGGTCGGGAGTAGCATCCTCCACCCAGCCACCCCTCCCACTCCCCCAGCGCTGGGCAGCTGCGGCTGAGGGCTGTGGCGGCGGCGGCGACGGGAAACGGCGGAGACCCTCGCTCCCGCCTCGGGTAAGGGGGCGTTAGGAGTCGGGCCCCGCGCGCCTCGGGTCTTGGGCTGGGCGAGCGCGGGATCTGTGGAGGCTGTGGGGCTGTCTCTTCTCCGGGCGACCCCTGGGCCTGTTGCTGCAACTGCTGCTGCTTATCCAGCGGCTCCCGGAAAAGTGGGGAGGGAGACCCCGGGAGCTCTGGCGGGTGTCCTGGCGCGGCCCGGGAGGCACGGGCAAGGGGTGAGGGGTAACCACCGCCAAGCCGGGACGCTGCGCTGTGGCAGCCACCGCGTCGCGCATCCTTGCTTAGGGCAGGGGCCGAAGCGGAGGAGAGGAGAAGGGATGGGGGCGGGGGTGGGAGGTGTCCCTCAGCTTTCCATATCTCCAGACTGCACCTACCCTTTGGGCAGCGCTTGGTGCCTGTAGTCACCGACTGTGGGAAGGAGGATGCCTCTGTGTTATGGGGTTTCTGGGAAGGCTTCGCAGGCTACAAATCATGGAGAAAACCCGCACAAAGATGCGCTGGCGGCCAGGGGCCGATGCAGGGCAGTTAACGGCGTGACTGCCTTAGTGCCTCCTTTTGATGTGCAAATGTGCTGGCGGCTTTTGAGTTTCTAAACTTATTTGGAAAGGTTAAATGCGCTTATATTTATTAGTTCAAGGAGGTTTGTCCTGCAAGTGTGAGTAGGTTGTTGGATGCAGCACCTGTTCTCTTCATGTGGGAATTGCAATCTTCCGAGACGCAACGTATTTAAGTTAAATGGCAATGTCAGGGTTAACGGGTTTACCTCTGATGAGCATTTAGCATTTTGGTGCATATTACCCTTTAGAATGAGGATACAAGCAGGGAGAAGTGGCGTGTTTTTCCTATGTGTGTTTAAATTAAGCTAACTCTAGAACGTGGACCCAGGAAAGCCGGACTGCAGTAGATAACCCCAAATCTCAAGTCTTCTGTAAGAGTGCAATGCAAATTTTTTATTCAGAGTTAAACTTGTCACAAGTAACTGACTTGACTTTGGCTTATCTTTATAGAAACTGTAAGTGGGTTTCATTATAGATTTTTTCTTTTTATTTCTGGGGTTAAGTGAATTAAGTGCAAATTAATTTTGATTAAATTGGAACATGTTTTATGCCCAGTTCTCTAAAAATGGTGCACCATATAGAAAGTATTTTAGGGGAGAAATTATACACTGAAATGTGTAAGTTGTCTCTCTTCTTTAAACTTAAAACAACCTAAATCCCTAAGCCAATTGTAAGTTCCTGTTTGTTGCTATCCTTGTGAAGTATATTATAAAGTGTGTATAGAAAGTCTTAATTATAAATGTTGTGTTAGTTATAAAATGCTATTTATAAATAACTACAGTAGGAAGGACAAAGTGGAAAAACAAATTGTGATTTTATAGGCTTTAATATGTAAAAATGTAGGGAGTTAGATGAATAGACTTGGAGGCATGGATTTTTCTTTTGCTGCTCTATAAATTGAGAATTCTGTTTGAATTGAGCAGAACAGCTGGTATGAAACTTGCATAGTTTGCAGAAAATATGCAAAAATGTGTCTTTGATCAAATAGTTAACATGAAGGGTGTCTTGTAGTTTACTAGGAGAATGATTCAAAATAGTTTTAATATGGTACTGTATAGATTGTATTTATAAGAATGTTTGTGAATTTATCTAAAAAGTCATTTTAAGTTGTTTTCCTGCAGAAACAATCATTCTGATTGCATTTTGGAATGTTTTATTGCAAATTCTAACCAATTAATTTTTAAGGAATAGGAATATCCTTAAAAGTATGAATTTTGAAATTTGCTAATGGTTTGAAAAACTTGTGTTCGTMGTTTGTTGTTTTAAATGTAGTTACATTAGTAGGTTGGTCTGGAGGGGGAGCTAGTGCCAAAGCAAAGTATCGCTTAATAGCTGTTTGAACTTTGAAAACACGTAAAACCATATTTTTTGACCAGGAGAAACATAAATTTTTAATTAAAAAAGTAGGGGAATTAATGTGGGCATATATCTGCACTTAGTTATTTGTAGGGTGCATATGTTATGATTACAAAGTCATCATCTGAAATAATGAAAGGAAGTGTTTGTTTCTTGAATTTCTCATGTAAAATGTCTGAAAATATGTCCTAGTGTGTGATAGTCTTTTCTCAACCTTCTTGTGCAGCACATTGAAAGGGAATATGTGTTCTTGACCCTTTGTGCAATTGTGTGTTAATTTTTTTCTTTATAATATTTGTAGTCCTAAAAAATGTTTCAAGCAGAGTCTTGTATAGGTGGAGATATTAATTTTGTAGTAAGGTTGGTATTTTTCAAAAGTGGAAATACTTTAAAAAAGAAATGGAGGGCTGGGGTCATAGCGTAGTGATAGAGTACTTGCCTAGCATGTGTGAAGCACTGGGTTCGATTCTCAGCACCACATATAAATTAAAAAAAAAAAGGTCCATTGACAACTTAAAAAAAAAAAAAAGAAAGAAAGAAAGAAAGCAGTATCCCTGTGTTACTTCTTAACCTTTATAATTGTTGTCTTCTATAATATAATGCAGGGGGTCTAGCTGATCTATTAAATTGAACTTGTATCTTTGATTTTGTGGTCTGTGTCCCTTATTTAGATTTCTGAACTGTCATCAGTTAGGTATGTTGTTTTATTTCTGATCATTCACATGTCTTTTAAATTCAAGTCTAGAAACTGATAATGATGTGTAGATTAAATCATTAGCATATTCACTTTTCTGAGGACAATAGTTGATTGTTATCTGTAAATTATGTAAAGAGTATCTCAGTGATGATAAATAAAAATAATTTTTAAAATTTAATGGTTATTTTTGTTTTACTATAATCTGCAATTAGTAAATATCTTGGTTTAATTAAATGATAGATGTACCTGTTTCATTTTATAACACATACGTAAGTATAGAAGAAAGTGTGTCATTCCATTTTATGAACATAAAAGTAAATATTTTTTAAAAGTAAATTTTTCTTTTCCTTTTGTGTAAGTGTGTGTGTGTGTGTGTGTGGGGGGGGGGAGGTACTGGGGATTGAACCAAGGCCCTCAAGGATGTTTGGCAAGTGAATTATATATACCTCTGAATTACACCCCCTGCCCTTTTAATTTTACTTTGAGATAGGGTCTTGCTAAGTTGCCCAGATTGACCTCCATCTTGTGATCCTCCTGCCTTAGTCTCCTAAATAGCTGGAATKATAGGTGAATGCCAAAGCTCTGGGCTGGACTAATTTTTAAAGAGCCTTAAAAATGTCTTCCGGGCTGGGGATGTGGCTCAAGCGGTAACACGCTCACCTGGCATGCACGGGGTGCTGGGTTCGATCTTCAGCACCACATAAAAATAAAATAAAGATGTTGTGTCCTCTGAAAATTAAAAAAATAAATATTAAAAATTCTCTCTTTCGCTCTTTTAAAAAAAATCTTCAACAAAAGTATATTTTTGGGGTGTGTGTGTGCATTTAAAAATGTGTTTGAATTGATTAATATCAAGTCTCGACCTTCTTCTCTCTACATTCTCTCTTGCCTAAATTTCCCCTCCTCCAACTACCCTTCCTTATCTCAGTTTTCTTTTTGGAATGATTTACAATCAAACCAATAGGGGCTTGGGGATGTGGCTCAAGCGGTAGCCTGCTCGCCTTGCATGCGTGCGGCCCGGTTCGATCCTCAACACCACATACAAAGATGTTGTGTCCGCCGAAAACTAAAAAATAAATATTAAAAATTCTATCTCTCTCTCTTAAAAAAAAATCAAACCAATAAAGTTAACCTTATCACTCAACTTGTGGAGGTTTTTCTTCCTTGACTAAATAACTTTATATGAATCTCTAAAATATTTTGAACATATAACTTATGTAAACTTTATATGATACTGCACATTTTTCTTTCAGTAAAGAAAGAGCAAATTAAATGTCTATGATATTATGCCGTGGATGTCAATTACTTCTTGTACAACACTTCACAGAAAGCAGAACAATAGGGTTAATTTTATTTAAGGTTTCTTTTAAGAAGTCTTTATTTGATAAGACCTAGTATCCTACTCATATTACTATTTAAAAACATTTCTCTGTGATAGTTTTGGTCGTAAAAAGATGAAGGGTGGAGCTGGGGTTGTAGCTCAGTGGTAGAGTGCTTGCCTGGCATGGGTGAGGCACTGGGTTTGATCCTCAGCACCACATATAAATAAATAAAAAATAAATAAAATAAAGATAATGTCTCCATTTACAACTAAAAACCAAGAATTGTACTGGTTGGTAGCCAGCCTTGTTGGAGATAAGGGAGTTCTCTTCTTCTCTTCTTCTTCTTCTTCTTCTTCTTCTTTTTTTTTTTTAACTGTCCTTCCACTTTCTTCTATTTGTCACCTTTTCCTGGCAGTGGTAGGAAATATGAGAATTGACTTTGGGTTTTTCTTTTTTTCTTCTTTCTTTCTTAGGGATCAGAGGACATTTACAGGTAAAACATTAGTTCTTAATGTTATAATAGGTTTTTTTTAATAATGAATTTGTTTACTTTTGAGATAGTAGGCAAAAGATCAGAACATCATTTTTATACTTTGGTGGTACTAGAGATTGAACCCAGGGCCTTGCACATGGTAGGCATGTGCTCTCTACCGAGCTGTTATTTCCAGTCTTTTAAATTTTATTTTTGAGCCAGGGTCTTGCTTGCTAGTTTCTTGTGCTAGTCTCTTAACTTGCGATCTTCTTCCATCAGTCTCGCCAGCATCTGGGATTACAGGTGTGTGCACCATGCACTGCAAAGTTTTAATATTTTTTATTGAAAAATAAATTTGTAACTTTATATGAAAAGGGAGATGGGACGAGTGGTGTATGTAGCCTAGTGATTAGAGCACATGCTTAGAATGTAGGAGACCATAGATTCAATCCCCAGCACCAAAAAAAAAAAAAAAAAAAAAAAAGGGGTTGTGGAAGATGGTTCATGATTAAGGGTCATGGATCAGTCACATACTTATTCTACCTAATGTTTAATATAATCCCCTCTTCTACTTTCCTGGAGTGCATTCTCAT